AAGGATTGCCAAAAAGAATCATTATAGTAAAAAAAAAAAAAGAAAAAAAAAAACCGAAAAAGCTGGAAACGACCAAAGAGCCATGGTCAGGATATATCGGCCATCGAGTGGCAAGGATTGAAAAATCGATTTCCTTTATTTTTTTTGTCCATAAATAGCCTTAAGGTAGATAAGTAATCTAATGTACGTTGTTCTCGCAAAAAGGTTTTTTATTTTCGAGAAAAGTAAGAATATCGGTTTTCGTGGTCGGAGTCTCAAAATGGCCGTATTTTCAACCCGAAATTTGCTAACATCAACTCTCCTAGCCGCGTTCGCAAATAAAGCCGCAAGTAGAAATTTGGACATTTTCCATCAATAGAACAACTCTTCTTCTTTCACTAGAAGATACTTTCAAAGCAATATCAAGACTCGTTGAACCAACATAATTCAAAAACGAAGAACAGGTTTTTACGGTGACAAAAACTTTAATTTAGTAGTTGTTTTCTGCGGCATTTTTCTTCATGTGGTATAGCTCCAAATTTTCTCGGTCCTCGTTTATTCACACATTTAGACATTCATCTAAAGCATACCTGAGAATTGGCTTGGGTTCCTTTTAAGCAGCCTCCAAACAAAAGCATCGAAGTCCGGTGAAAAAGCGAACCGTGACCAGAATAACTTATTTAATGGCTCCAAGTTTCCTCGATCGTAAAGAGACAAGACGAAATATCTTCCTGTTCCGTCTTCCTTAGCGAATTACCATTGTTAAATTTCTTATTTTTCGATAAAAAATTACTACCAGAAAAAGCGCGTTTGATTGTTTTCTTCTTCAAATACTGTCGTGCTCGAAACTGTTACCACAGCGGTCAGTATAATACATGGACGGCGGACTGTGGACTACGGTCTGCGGACTGGGTATAAAATATAAAACGCGGACTGGAAAATATGGACTGCGTATAAAACACGGACAAGGTATTAAACGTGGACTGCGGACTGCGGACTGCGGACTGGGTATAAAATACGGACTACGGAGTACTTTGGTGAAAACGGTGCTAATTGGTTCTAGGTAAGATCAAAAGATCGCTAAATAGCACGTGCCGCCCGGTTCTCTGATTCATGAGCCGGATCAAAATGTTATTTTCTTCACCCGTTTTTAGACCTTGTGTCAGTCTCTAACAATCGTGAAAGGGGTCAGGCTCAGTCGGGGTACTCCCATATAAAAGGGAAGGGTAGGGGTTTTGGACCTTTTGGGTCTGAAAACACTTTGCCCATTTCGGTGTAGAATCAGGTATGGTTTTCGAGGGAACTACGGGAGCGTACATGAATGGACGTATTTATCGTTTCAATTCCCAAAGGAGTAAGAACGAAATATAAATGTGCGAATTCGAAATGCATTTGGAGAATTTTTTTGTTCCCGCTTTAACTTGGTAATGATGACATAATTTCTGCCTAATTAGACCTAACCTGTTCGAGGATCCGAGATAGTTGGGTCCACTGAATTGAGAAAGCGAAAACACGAAAATAAAACGGGAGAAAACTGGAGAGTCTTCCCAACTATCTGAGAGCCTGGAACAGGCTAAATTAGGCCAGGTCGGAAAATGGGTACGGATTTTAGAGATCTGGTGCGAAAATGGGTGTGAAAAATGACATTTTTTGGTCTGCAACAAGTTCAGGATTCGGAGAACCGGGCACCACACCCCCACCAAGAATTCCCAGTAGTACCCTTTTCCGGGGATCAGTAGCAGGGCGTAAATCATGTCATCATAATCATCGCTTAGAATATAACGTTGGATGACTCATTTCGGTTATTATTCACGTATGTGAGTAATCCCCCCCCGCTAAATACTGCTTTTGTGCATCGCGGAATGCCCTACATTCACCATCTCGTCTGAGTTCTTCGTTCAGTCCTCATATTCCCAAGGCTTTATTTGAAACGGAATTGTGGCATCCGATAAGAATTTTACTGATCTAACACCAATACTATTTTTTCAAATTTCGGTGCTTCTTATTGGTTTAAAACTGCAAAGTGAAATCTCTTCTAACTCCTTCTTTTTATAAAATTCATAGTTTAATTTCAGTTGCCTTGAGTACCGGCATAACCTTCCTTCTCCGTGGGAAGAATAGACTACGTGAACAGCCAAGGGAATGTTAAAGCTGGGACTACTTGTTTTGCTAGTCTGCTTTCCATTTCTCTCAGATTTACCTTTCTAATACTATTTTTATATACATAGACCTTAGTCCGCGTTTTATACCTAGTCCGTATTTTATACCCAGTCCGTGGTCCGCAGTCCGCAGTCCATGTTTTATACTGACCGGTTACCGCAGTATTTCAAGAATTGCGTTACGTTACTACGTATACCGTGATTCCGTGACTGTCATTTTGACGGCTCTGTCCTTTCAAACGTACGTATGTCACGTGTGGTCACGGAAAAGATTGTCAGGCAGAGTCGCCGGCTGGTAGAGTTCAGTGTTTTAAAAATGGCTAAAATTGACCCAGTGTCACCTTTTTACCCCACTCTTTGTTTGAAAAAAGGAATTTTGCAATGGGAAAACCTACAAGAAGTACAAAAAAACTAGCCGTTAGGCTGTAAATATCTACTTTTGCGCTTTTCGAAATTGGAAGTTTTTACCCAATTACCGCCGGCCTACCACGAAAATTCCTGAACTTTGATATTGTCTTACAGAGATTACATTCAATAACCCAAGCCAATTCCCAGGTATATTTCAATGTCTAAATGTGTGATTTACAGCGGTTAGTACTAACACGCGCCTTAGCTATACCCTCGTGCACGTACCTGCGTGCATTCAATCCTCGGAAGTATTTTATTTTTTCGCGTTTTACTTTCGCATATCATCACGAGTGTTATGTATAGCGTTATATTAATTCCCTAGAGATACTTATTCCCAAGAGCCTCGAATTGTTTGAGGTTGGATTCTGAAACATGGAAATTGGTCATTATATGTGAAGTAGTCAAACAGTTAGTTTTATCAAAGAGAGATAAGTGACTCCGAGGAAGAGGTATTGTTAACCGAGGGAAAGCAGTTTTGGAAACCCTTATGGACCTTCCACCGCGACAGATTTTGTGTTAGTCGTCCGACGAGTCACACGTTCGTAGGTAGACGTTGAAGATGTTGTGTCAAATTCGTTTAAAAGACACGGCCGGTGATGCGAATTTAATCCTAGTTTGGAGGCTTTGCGCTGTGACAAATGCCGATGAAAAAAAAAAATGAGGTCCAGAAAATGTGGTAAGTTTATTCTGACTTGTGTTGTTTTACTGGGGTGGTTAAGCGTGTTGAGTAGAATATCAGCAGGGAAATATGACGAGCTAGGGAATGAGTCGGGAAAATATGTATTACATTTTTTGTTGTTGTTGTTACTGCTATTGTTTCAGCTCAACACTCACCTGCTACAATCAAAACCGCCACCAACTTTTCAGACAGTGAGTAATGATGAGGGCAAATACACTCTTTTTTTTCTATAAGAATATATTTTATAAGAATATCGAGGCTGAAATTTGCGAAATTTTAAGAATATTTTAAGAATAAACCCCAGGCTGAGGTTTTGTAAAGGATGTAATTTTGTGTGTTCAAAAACTGTAAATACCACACAATTATGTTTTCAACTTATTCCATCCTCTGAACGGTAAAACTTGCCAACAAGGCGCAAAAACCTGCACTAACTACACTTGATACCCCAATATATTCTAAAACGGAAATGTTATAAGCTATAATTTAAGAATAATACAAGAATATTTTCAGCCTAAAATCGGCAGAAAAATAAGAATATTCAGCCTGGGCCGGAAAAACAACATTCTTATATAAAAAAAAGAGTGTAAACTGATTTGTGGATTACAATTTAATCGTTTGATTTAAATTATAAATATATTAATGGAAGCTTCGCTTTCAGCCCTGGTTAAATCTATATATTATAACGCATGTCTACTTCGGAAGCAATAAACTTCACTTTTTATTTGCTTTTCATTTCATTTTGCTTCACGCAATTTAAATTTATTAGGTTTATGTCCAAACTATATGATGGATAACTTTTGCTCCATCACGAAAACCATACCATATAGGACTTCTGTTCATACACAAAAATGGTTGGGGCGGCGCGATTTCTGTTACGAAGCGAAGCTGCGCCGCTCTGATCCCTTAAGCGGAGAGTCACTTATCAGATAGGTGTTCACCCTATACCGGATGGATTTTCGAAGCGCTACGAAAAGCTATCTGGTATACTATGAACATCGTATTATTTTCATGTTATCACCTTTTACTTATTTTTGCTTATTGTTATGGGTTGTCGAAAGCGCGGTCAGAAGAAAAACGAATAAGACTGTTCACAATGGCAAAATCATATTTGTCATTTTAAGCTATAACGAAAAAAAAATGCGAAAAAGCTTTCCCTAAAGAATTTTTTTTAAAACGTTAAAAATATACAGCGATGTTTCGAACTTACGTTTCTTTTGATATTGTATTCTTGAAAGTAATAAGTTAACCTCGTGCCTAAGGCCCTCTCCCTAGTCCCCCGGAACTCGGATGAGTAGGAGAGGACCCGCCTGGGAGCGAGGTTGGAACAGGATGTTTTTTATGTTTTCGCTTTCTTGTTTTATACTACTGCATGAGAAATTTCTGCAATTTGCTTGGCTTAGGCCATGTCCACACGTATCCGGAAATTTTTTTTTCCGCAAATATTTTTTTGCGGATGCGAAAATTTTCGCGTCCAAACGCAGCGTATTTGAATCATTTTCAGCCGTCTACACCTATCCGATTGTATCCGGAAATTTTCTGATTTGCTCTAGTGCCCAGTTCTTTTGCCGGAGAGAGTCCTGAAATGAGCATGCGCATAATTGCGATTTAGGCGCCGTTTCTTTCACGCTATAGCTACTGCGAGATGTAAACAGTCAAAGCTTGTAGTTTATCACTCGAAAAAATGTCTAAATCTACTGAAAACGTCAAGAAAAAGTATGCTGATACATATAAATCGACCGATGATGAAGTTGAACTACTGCTGAAGGGTCACGAAAGAATACAAAACGAAGCAAATCGCCAAAAGCATCGACTGGGAATCTTGTGATGACAAGTATGGCGAGATTAATTCTCGAAGCTTATAGTGATCATTATCCCTCGCCAGAAGATGCTGCTGCTGTTGGCAAAGATTTTCCACACAAGAAGGATGAGTTAACGTAGTCTGTTTTAGACATTCTAAAATTCTCTCTCCATTCTTCTTCGATCATTGTGCCATTGATAAAATTGTCCCACCATGCGCTTGTCCTTCCTGGTCGCTTCCAGAATCGCCTTCGGTGATGGTTTGCTCTTTTTTTGACTTTATGATGCCCACTGTTCATTGATAACAATCTCAAAACATCCTGTCGATCTCTAAATAATGTACTGGTTGTGTAAATTTATCACAGCTGCATTTATCTGAACGCATGATATCAAACTAGAAATCAGAGCAACTAACAAAGAAACTACAACCTTGCTGTACGCCATGTTTGTTTATAATGCTCGCCGTGAAGACTGGATCCAAGAGAATGACGAAAGCGTATTCGAAAATTTCCGGGTACGACCGTCCACACGTACACGTATTCGTATCGGATAAAAAAAAAATTTTGTACGACCGTCCACACGTACACGTATTCGTATCGGATAAAAAAAAAAATTTCCTCTCTGGAGAGCGTTTTCAAAAATTTCCGGATACGGCCGGAAAATACGCTGGATACGTGTGGACGCAAGCCGTATTCGTAAAAAAAAAATTGCGTTTTCACAAATTTCCGGATACGTGTAGACGATGCATTAGAGCAGTGGTATTTCAGCTAAATTTGAAATACCTACAAGTGAAAATTACAAAACCTTTGCGGGTAGTAGTATAAGCAAATAATAGCATGATTTGTACGTGATACCACTCGTGACATTCCAAAATTGTATGACAATTTTGAAATATAGCTCGTGGTACTTATGCCAAATATCACTACAAATCATGCCATTACCTATACTAATTTTTTTTTTCTCACTTGCATTTTTCTCCACATAATCTGTTCCAGTTTTTATTTTATCAAGTTAACCCATTGAACACAACAGATTCGGATCATAAAAAGCTTAATTTTCGTAAAACATTTCAGCCAGAGAAGGTTGAAAAGAACTTCGATATCACAGATTTCCTTTTCCCTTATAAGAAATCATGAACTAAGTCTTATATATATAACATTTTTCTTGGCGCAAATTGTTCCTTAAAAATCTATTAAATCTGTAAATGATTTTTTTCGATTGGGCAACTGTGTCATTATGTACGGTATGTAAGCTATGTGGGTTAAGCCGTAATGTAAAATCAAGTTTCCGGTTGTTGAAGGTCATGGGATGATTGGCAGGACTTTCCCGAAAAGAAAAAGGGAAAATTCCCTTTAATCCCCTTTGTTTGATCCAGGCACGGTCCACGTCGACAATCGTTTGTCTTTGTTCTGCTAGTGAATATTTGGGACAAAACTATGCAAGCCGGAGTGTGATTGCTGCATAATGTTTTCTCATTTCATCTGATGGTAATGAAGCTTTTTATTTGAATCTTGTTTAAGGTTGGTAACCTATTGTTTGATGTAACGCTCACTGCGTCCCCCTTTGTTTCTTCCGTGTTGTTTTTGCGGTTTGTTAGTATAAGAAAAGTAGGTGCAAAGTGGAAATTTAGATTCCTGGTTCAGTTTCATCAAACGCCCGATGCTTGCAAAGCCATACATGATGTGAAAACCCCTCAAGTCAGTAAATAGTTTGTTTGCTTCTTTGTTGTGTACACTCGTATTCGATTGTCTTGGATGTTTAAGCTATAACGCAAACATTAAGCGCATGTTTGATTCTTTACCGTATCCTCTTGGCAAAAAACACAGAAGTGATAGGCTACAAATCGTTGCACTCATTATATTTTGGCGAAGGCAACAGCCTATTGCAGTCCTATTGCAATCTGCCCTAATTATAATATCATCATCTTTATTTTAATTTATACAAACAGTGGTAATACATGCAGGGACATGCTAAGGGTTTAGATGAAAAATTGTGGAGTTAAATTCAGCCTCACTAGGCAATTCGCTATGGCAGTCAGCGTACACGTATTGAAACTACTTATCTAATAATTTCTTTGTTGTTTTAATTTTGTTGTGTATATTTTGTCTTCGAGCCTCAGTCTCACATTAGTTTCCACATTTTTCATTCTATTCTGTGGGAAGACAATAAATAAATAAATAAATAAATGAATAAATAAATAAATAAATAAATAACCATTGCTGTCAGTCGCCTTCCCTCAGTCCTAACTATTTAAAGTAACATTTAGGTGACGGGCACTAAAAGTTTGGAACACAACACAGCTAACATAAGCGAGTGGTCCGAGTCGAAGGAACATGATTAGGCATGGAAAACTGGCAATGATTTCGAAACTGAAAAATAATTATTTTACGTAGTTGAACTCCGCCCTGTAGATTGTCACGTGCATATATAGTTCATGTAAATCAGGTGAACCAAGTTCGTCACAAGCTCATGGAGATCTAGCCTCCCACGCAGACGTTCTTACGGGTTCGTCACGCAATCTTTCCTCCCCCACGTGGGGTAGGAACGCGTGACGAACCCCTAAGAACGTTTGCGTGGGAGGCTAATGGAGATCCTCATGCTTGCCCTCCTTCTGAAACTCAGACTGAAAGATATGAGTGAGAAGTTCCCTCATTTCTGCAGTACACTTAACTATTCCTGCTCTAGCTTGATCTGAGCTGCGGCCGCATGGTGTCTGTTTATGCATATTATTCTTTATGAAAATAACGAGACCAAATTGTGAAGATGTTTCAGGGTGCTTTAAATTATATTTAGGGATAGCTTTCTCGATACAATCTTTCTCCTATAAGAATGTAGTTTTCCGGCCTAGGCTGAATATTCTTATTTTTTTCGGCCGATTTTAGGGTGAAAGTAATCTTCTATTATTTTTAGATTATAGCGTATGGCGGACATTTCGGTTTTAAATGGTGTATCAATTACAGTTGGTGCAGCCGGGTTTGTCTGTTTGTTAGCTAGTTTTGCTGGATAGAGAAAGGAATAATATTAAAGAGTTATTAAAGTTGAAAACATATAACTTTATTGCATTTACAGATTTTCGACGCACAAAAAACTCTTTACCTGATATTAGTACCTTTTACACGTCATATTGTATTTTTCTCTTTTAATCAATCACATATGTGATTAAAAGACCGCTTAACTTTCGCACGCAACTCTCTATATTAAGAATTCACGGAATTAAGAAGTACACTAAATTAAAAATGACGACATGGAGTCATCGAAACGTCATTTATTGCCATCGCTAATTTTTATTCTCAATTGTTTCTCTTTAACTTCCGTTATCAAAATTGTAATCCTTTTAAAACTCTCAGCTATCGGGTTTGTTCTAGAAATATTATTATGATTTAGCAAATTACTGCCTCCTCGATATTCTTAAAGTATATTCTTACAAAAAGAGCGTGAAATCAGTGTCAGCCTTGCCAGTTGTTCAATTACATCTATACGCGAGTGGCTTTTGATGAAGGTGACAAACAATTTGACGTAAGTGAATATTTATTCAGCAAACAATCAAAAGTGATGCGAAAACAGAACAAAGGTCACAAAATACGACGTTCAAATACGACCTCTGTAAATGCTTTTGACTGGAAGCCAGTAGTTGTTTACCAGTATTCTAAGAAACCAGTGGTGCATTTGGGGGTCTAACCTCCGAGATGACACTAGTAGCTCAGCAGTTTTCTTACTTGTAACATCGTTGCAAAAAGTTTGAATCGCCTTACGTTTTCTTATCCATCAAGTTGAAGAGAAATAAGGTGGCTCCACCCAATGTTTTTACGCGCACACCTTTTATCTTTTTAAACCTTTTATACCTAAACAGCTAGCTTAATGATTATCATAAATCTATCAAAATAACTTGATTAAACAAGGACTTGTAAAAATTCCAATGATGTCTTGAAGTTCTTCTCTTCTAAAGACTTTTATTTTTTAAACTTCTCACAAAAAAAGGCAAATGCCCTAGAGGCCCTTAGAAACGAGGTTGAAAACAGAGATTTTCTATGTTTTCGCTTTCTCGTTTAATTTTTCTTTCACTTACATTTTACTCCACCTGAGTTTGTTCTAGGTTTCATTTCATCAAGTTGACCCATTGAAGACAACAGATTCGGATTATAAAAACATTTCAGTCACAGAAGGGACGGAAGGTTTAAATATTTCGATATCACAAATCTCCTTTTCTCTTATAACAAACCATGAACTAAGCCTTATATAACGTTTGTCTGGCGCAAATGGTTTCTTATAAATCTATTAAATCTATAAATAATTTTGTTCGATTGGGCAATGTGTTATTATGTACGTTATGTAGGCTATGTGGGTAAGGCCATAATGCAGTATTTATGGTTAAAAGTCAAGTGATGATTGATGGGACTTTCCCGGAAAGAGAAGGGAAAATTCCTTTTAATCCCTTTTGTTTGATCCGTGCACGGTCCTAGTCGATACCTGTCGCTTGTCTTGGTTCTGCTAGTGAATATTGGGGACGAAAACTATGCAAGCCAGAGTGTGATTGCTGCATTTCATCTGACGGTAGTGAAACATTTTATTTGTGTTTAAGGTTGGTAACCTATTTTTTTTTTTAATATAAAGCTCATTGCGTCCTACTTTGTTTCTTCAGTGCTGTTTCTTCGGTTTGTTATTATAAGAAAAATAGATGCGATGTGTAAATGTAAATTTCTGGTTCAGTTTCATTACACGTCTCATGTTTGCAAAGCCATACTGACGTGAAAACCCCTCAAGTCAGTAAATAATTTGTTTGCTTTTTTTTTTGTTGTGTACACCCGTATTCGATTGTCTTGGATGCTTAATTTTAACCAATAAGGCACGCATTGAGCGCATTTGTTTGATTCTTTACTGTATCTTTACCGCCGCCCGGTTAGCTCAATGGGATAAGCGCCGGTCTGCTGAGCGGGAGTCCGTAGGTTGAAACCCCGGCAGGACCAACACTTCGACAATGAAACTTGAACCTTCGACAATGTTTCATGCAGACTCCGTGTTATTTCTCACCTCTACTAGTAATGATCGAATTCAAAAGTATTCGTCGATGTTCGGCTTTCCCTGGACAAATCCACTGGTGAATTCTCAAAGGTATATAAGAAATGTGTGCTCTGCTATGGCTTAGGGTCTATAATCACGATTTCGGTTTGTAACTAGTTCAACTCTGCAAGGTTTCTTTTGAGTATCCCGGATATGTTTCTCACTTTCTGTTTCACTCGGAGGTCTTGTG